GGTTTCGGCCATAATTATTTATTTTTTAAAAAGAAACTTATTTGTTGACTTTTCAATATTATTTATAGCTATATCTCTTATCAAAGGAATCCCCTTTGAAAGAATATGAAAGAAGCCCAGAGTCAACAAAATCTACCTCTTTCATTCATAAACCAAACCTTTTCTGATTTTTACCAATGGCGACTATGCATCTTGAGATAACTGAGTTATAATTATGCCTATTATATCAGAACTAGAGGCCCGTTGCATGAAGATTTGTACAGTAGGCCTTCCTTCCCATAGCTGCTGGCACCAGTTTTCCTCTGGCAGCTGGGAACCCAGGCCTTCACCCAGGCTGCAGCAGAGAAGCCAAGCCTGGAGACTTCTCCGCACCTGAAGAAGCTAAGTCTTCAAGTGGAGAAGCTAAGTCTCAAGGCTTCTCTGCTCCAGCCACAGGGAAGAAGCCAAGCCTCTACAGTCTTCAATCTTCAGTCTTCACTCCCACCTGCATATGCAAATTAATCCAACATCTTTGTTGGGTGAATTGCATACTCACTCCTGATTGGCTGGTGTTGTAGAGATACAGTGAATTTACATGTTTCTCTTTTATTAATGTAGATAAATCATCTTCCCTTTCACTATCAAAAGTGTCATTTGAATAATAACAGAATTCCAACTAATGAATAGCTTTTTCCCTGTGACTCTATCTAACATAAATATATGTCTTCTTCCACAAATTCTCTTCAGTCAAGAAGAAAGGTCCATAGTTCTGTGATTTTCCTCTATTCCTTCTTTCTTTCTTGTCTTTTCTTTCAACTGCTTCATTAATTATGTCTCTTCCTCCCTCAGTTATCTTTCAAGAAAATGCCAGATGTATTCTTGGTTTTATAACCACTTGCCCACCAAAAAAGGTATTACTATTAAACAGGAAGCTGAGGATGAGCTCTTGAGTTGGAGCTAACCTTGTCTGAACTTCCTCAGGCCTAGGTTTTTTTCACATATAAAGGGAACTGGTAAACTACCCATCTCATTAAGGGTGTGATAAGAATGTGTTATAAAACTGTTTTAAAACTAAAGTAATTAAAATGTACATACTCTGATTTATGTTAGAAATTAAAACTTGCTTAATTTAAGAGTAAAGAGAATTTTTCCAGTATTAATTTCCTGGAAGTGATCCAATTTTAAGTTCCTTCTCAGAAATTATACTAAGTGAACTATTAATTTTATAAGATTCTCAGATTTCTGAGGATTATAGAATATTAGCATTGCAAGTGACCCTAAAAGTGAGAAATGAGGTAAGGGGAGTAGGTAAGGGAAAGGAAGGTAGGAAGGAAAGACAGAAATAAAAAAAAGAAACAAATAATTATCATACCTAGGAATATAATAGGGGTAAATCTCAAACTTAAATCTTAATAATTAAATGATAAAAGTATATGATAAGGCCATATTATTTTTCACATTAAAACTAAAAAATAAACTTGAAAACTGTACATAAAGGTGAATTCTCAAAGATTTATAAAGGATGACAGATACATAACTGTTCTGAGGATCAATCAGTACAGTTCTTCCTTACACTCAAAATTGTGCATCATATTTTATATTGAGCATAATAAATTCTCAAAACATGTTATCAGTCAAACAATATAAAATCAGCTTAGCTCAGAGGAAGGATAACAATATAAGAACAAATAGAAAAAGCTGACTTCAACATTGTAAGATAGAGTTATTTAAGTATTACTTATCCAAATGGTCAATAAATAAATATTTTCTGATACTCAGGTTCAACAATAAATATTTACTGAAACATACACACACACACATATATATTATACACATTCAATATACAAGACAAGTTTTTATAAATATTCATTCCCCACAAAATGTAGTCAAGTTGAATAGAAAAAAACCATTATGTTGAAAGATACATAATTTTTAAGCAAGGTGGGATTCATGCTTCTAACCAATTTGGAAGCTCAGGGACTATATTTACCCTCCTGCCTAAAACCACATGAAAAACAAGCAAAATATAGGAAACAGTGGTTTTAAAGACACTGTATATCAAGTAACAAAGGACAATAATCTCTAAGAGATGAGCAATAAATAAGGTGAGTTTCAGAACGGCACCCTCATACTATCTTTAGGGACTGCCACAGAAAGGCATTCCAGATGGAATCCAACAGTCTCCACAAATTGAGGAAATGGAACTGAGATCCAGGTATACCAAAGTGCCTAGAATTCACAGGGGTAAGGACTGGTAGAGAGAGAGTTGCACAAAATAAAAACCCCAAAGATCTGCAGAGGCCTCCCTCAACAAAGTTTTGAGCAGCCCATATGTGTGAAGACATTACCCTGAGCCAGGAAAGAATCACTCAAAAGGATTAGAGGAAACAGTAGACAGAGGGACAGTAATAGTGCTTGTCCCTCATCCAGAATGATCTCTAATTCATAAGCCATTGGGGAGAATACTCAGCTCTTGGCTCAATAGTGGGGAATATGTAATTAGTCATAGAGTAAACACTGCTCAGGTTCTACCTAATAAATCTTGGAAGCAAGACCTAAAAGTATCACACAGTTTTCCAAGTGACTAAACTATATCCCAAAACAAAGTTCAACGGGACTTTTATGAATATAAAAACTACCAGCACCCAACAAGAGAAATCCACAATGTCCGTACCTAAACAATATATTGAACTTTAGAAACATTAACTATGTTGGTAAATATATATACTTTCTAATTGTGTAAATTGACTTAAAGGGGAAAATAAACTGAACTCCTGCTTCCAGGAAGATGGAGTAAACTTACTTTTCCCAAATCCTTTGTTAAGTACAGCAAAAATTCTAAACACTCTATGTAAAAGAAATATAAAGAGACTTTGAAAGGTACAGAGGAGAAGACAGACTAGGGAACTAGGAACCCAGGAAATGACATGGTGGTGAGTCCCCGGAGTTTCCTTTTTGCCCATATGAGGTCACAACTTGATCCTGCAGAAACCAGCAATCCACAGAAAGAATATTTATGTAGAAAGATAATATTTTTGAAATAATAAGTTGGGATGTATTCCTTTGGCCAATTTGAAATATCAGGGGCTGGATTTATTCTCCTGCCTAAAATCATATGAAAAACAGGCAAAATGTAGAAAAGTATAATTTTAAAGACATTGAGCATCATGTGAGAAAGATGTTTACATGTGCAAACACACACACACACACACACACAAACACAAAAAAAAAAAAAAAAAAAAACACACACATACTTACACAAAGATAATCTGCATGCTCTAATGGTAAGACAGGGGAAGGGCAGCCTAGCAAGACAGAAAAAGTTATAACGTTAACTCTAGCCCAGCACCATAGGAGAAAGTAAAAAAAAGAAAAACGATGGCTATGTATCCACTGGTTCCAGGAAAGGCTGAGTGTACAGTCTAGACTGCCAAGCGAGCCAGGATGTAATAAGTCATCCCAGCCCCCACCCCGGCACCATCACTGCCACTGCCCAGGTGGTATCAGAGAAGCTCAAGTAGTAACCCAGGACTTTTATCCCCATTAGGGGGTAACAAGCCTTCTTCCACGTGGTATCAATGGAAACCACCAGTGGAACAGTAAGAAGAAATTCCTGTTTCTCTGGCAGGGTGATACTAGGGGAGGCCCAGTGCTGAGCTCAGCTCCCCTTCTCACCCAGCAAAATAGCAGACCTTCTCCTTTGTGCCCATAGAGGCTGTGCGGGGAACCTTCGCTTTCAGTCCCACCTACAGTAATGAGGAAATGACCCCTTTGCTTGACCCCTTTGCTTGACCCCTTTGCCTGCTGAAGTTAGTTCAGCGAAAGCCAGCTAAAAATGGAAGATTTACATAAGATCTGGATACTCATAACATTAAAAAATCCAGATTCCACTTGAAAATCGCCTGTCGCACACAAACTGGAAAAATTGCACTTGAATGAAAGAAAAGGCAAATAAAAAAAAAATGCCAAGACTAATATGACAGTTTAGAACTATCTGACAAAGATTTAAAGTAGCCATCAATACAAATGTTTTAGTGAGCAAGTACAACATGCTTAAAAACAAATTAAAATTCTCAATAATAAAGTAAAAAGTATCAGGAAAAATCAGAATAGTAGGAAATATAAAAAAGAAACCAGTAATTGTAAAACTGAAAATACAATCACAAATAAAACTCAGTGGATGGTGTCAATAATAGAACTGAGAATTCAGTGAAAAATCAGTGATATTGAAAATAATAGAAATTATCTAATATAAACAGAGAAAAAAATATATATATAAATCTATATAATTATATATATATACTTTTAGTCACACACACACACACAGAACCTCCAGGAACAGTGAACTATAATGAGAGATCTAAGTTTTGTGTTAACAGAGTAACAGAAAGAGGAGAGGATTAAAAAAGCATTTAAATAAATATTGACAAAACTTTGCAAAATTAGCAAAAGACATAAGCATACAAATTCAAGAAGCTGAGCAAACCTCAAGCAAGATAAACCAAACAAAATCCATACTAAGGCAAATCATAATCAAATTTGTAAAGTCTAAAAACAAAGAAAGAAAAAAAACACCTCTAAAACAGAGAGAGAAATGAGAAAAAGAGGCAATAGAAAAAGGGAGAAATCAGAAAAGTAGCAAATAATTTTGTTTTCCAGATAACATGATTCTATATATAGAAAATCCTAAAAACTGCAAAACAATCTGTTAGAATGAGTAAATAAATTCAGTGAAGTTACAGAATATAAATCAACATACAAAAACCACTTTACAAGAACAATGATCTATCCATAAAAAAAGTTTTGTTTTTTAAAAATCCTATTGATGACAGTATCAAAAATAATAAAATACTTACGAATCAAGTATTTTAACCAAGGGCGTGAAAGACCTACACTATATAAACAATATATTATAGTAATTGTTTATTACTACAAACAATTAAATGCTATGGGGGAAAATAGTAAAACACAAAGAGAACAGGTAACAAAAGCAAAATTGAATGACTGGGCCTATGACAAATTAAAAAGCTTCTGCACAGCAATGACACAGTGAAAAGGCAATCTACTGGATGGGAGAAAATATTTGCAAACAATGTATCTGATGAGTCAATTTCCAAATTTTTTTAGAACACAAACAACTCAAAAGCAAAATATATATTTTTTTAAATGGTCAAAAGACCTGAATAGAAATTTATCTGAAGATGACATACAAATGACCAAGAGGTATATAAAAAGAATGCTCAGTGGAAAACACAAATCAAAACCACAATGAAATATTTCGTAGTCAGAATGGCTATTAATTTTAAACAAAGATAAGTGCTGGGAAGGATGGTGGGGGAAAGGGAACCCTCAGGCGCTGTTGGTGGAAATGTAAACTGGCACAGACATTATGAAAGTAGTGCAGAGGTTCCTCAACAAATTAAAAATAGAACTGCCATATGATCTAGCAATCTCTCTTCTGGGTATACATAAAGGAAATTAAATTGGTGATTCAGAGAAGTATTTGCATTCCCATGTTCAATGTATCATTATTCACAATATCCAAGGTATAGAAACAATGTAAGCATCTGTTAATGGATGAGTGGAATATTACTAAGCCTTTAAACAATGTGAATGAACCTGGAAGACATCATCTTAAGTGAAACAAGCTGGACTCAACAAGAAAAAAAATTGCATGATCTTATATGTGAAATCTTAAAAAATTGAATACATAGAACATTAGTAGAATGATAATTATGAGGGATAGTGAGCTGGGAGAAATGGAGCCATATTGGTCACAGGGCAAAAAGTAGCAGTTATGTAAGAGAATAAGTCTAGATATCTAATGCAAAGTATAATGACTATCATTAATAACACAACTAAATACTGGAAATCTTCTAAGAGAGATTTGATGTGATTTAACACCAAAAAATAAAAAAATGGTTAACTGTGAGAATATATGTTAATTAGCTTGTCTGTGGTAATCATATATTATTACATTGCATGCCTTAATATCTACAATGCTTACTAAAAATTAAATAAATCAAAATAAAATCTAATATTTGATTAAGTGATTGAAGATTTTAAAGTATGTTTGGGCAACTTGATTATCTGAATCTTCTCTTACAATTGTAAAAATTGTAAAATTAAGATACATATCTAATATATCTGATCAAATTTAACTTTCTAAATACAGGAGTTCCAGCTGTGAAATACAAGATATCAGGTTTCTGTGAGGTTTTTTTATGAAGATAATGACATAACATACCCTATTCATGATTCTGATTTGAATTGTATCTTAAACTGATAATATTTTGGATTTCATAGGCTAACTAAAAATGATATATAATGAAAAAGAAAACCATATAATCATTAAATTAAAGTAAGTGATCTAAACATCTTCAAAAGAAAAAAGGCAGAAATTGTCAGACTGGACAAATAGAAAGATCTAATTATAAGAAAGAGGAAATGAGACCTGTCTCAACAATTAATCTTGTGTACTCATCATAAACACACTAATTGCTGACCAGCCATGAACCCTTAGATAATTATGCTTGGTCCACACAGTTGTAGGGCAATTGTTCTTAATGTTACTAATTATTATATTTAATGTCTCTATGGCTAACAATTTCATATGAAAATACAGATTTCACATAAAATATAGACTTCTGGTTATTCGTTTGCTTTGTTTTAAAAAAATGTGGCTATCCAGCAATGCTGACAAACTTTCCTGCAGGGTGACACCTTTCATTTTTCCTATTAGGGAGGTCACAATGGGCCATTTCACAGTGGATGCTTCACTTCTTTCACTGAATATCAGTTGCCATCTACCATCATAGTTATGCTGTTATTTCTTTTTAAAGAAAAAAGAATTATTTTTTCCCCCAGCTTCATTCATGTAGCTCCCCTGCCTTGGTACTGGGCATTTAATTTTAAATCCTTGCTATATAGGTTTTATTAGTATCTTAATTAAAACTTTGGTTTTACTTGGCCTCTCTAGCTTGTTATACTTAAACAGCAGTATCACTGCCTGTACCCTGGGCACATTTAAAACAGTGCCCTTGGCACAGTCCTGACGTGGCTCCATGGCATACTGTGTTCCACATTGGGGCTCCAATGAAACCTCTGTTACTTGACAAAAAGAGCAAAAATAAGAGTTTGCCTTTGCCCCTCTGTGGCAAGAATGGAGTCAACAGAAAGAAGCTGTTTCTTTGGTTTATAAGAGCAGAAAGCATTTTACAAATGTATTAGAGGGAAGTCTTTCATTGAAAACCAAAGTAGTCAATGCAAATTAGGTTTTAAACATTGGCAGATACAATTTAAAAGGCTTAGTGCAAAATATAATAAGCCTTCTGATGGGACACCTATAAATTTTGACATTTACAATCATTTTCAAACTTGAAGAATTGAGACTGGAAATAAATAAGAAGACTCTTGTCCAAAGTGGGGCTAGAATCCTTCCTTAAAAAAATATCTAGCCTTTACATTAGCCAGATACTTCGCTCATCCTCACAGAAATTCTCTTGTCTAGAGACAAGTTCTTTAGTATACATATGAAGAAACTGAGTCACAAGGAGTAAGGAAATAAGTGTGTCAATAAACAAAGTCAAATTTGTATGATCCCCAATCTCTTTCCTTTACCCACTTCACTATACTGCCTTTCAATTCCCTTCATGTCAGGAAACTGAATATTGAAACAAGAACTCTAAGTACCTTGCTTATCTTTGCTGGATGTGAGTACTTATGCTTAAATAGATGCACAAGCATTAACTCTTCATACTCTTTCTAAGGTACAATTGGTTCTTTCTGGGCAATAACCATTACAACAGTCATATTTGAGTGGCAGTATGAAAACATCCCTATGGCAATGGATTAAAAATTTGCAGAATTGTCAAATATCCTTGGGATCTAGGGGCATTCAGACAACTTTGTTTATGGCCCTCCATTGGGACACAACTTATTTACACTCTCAAATTCCCTCATTTCAAACCAAGGTAGACTTGGATGAAACATTATACCATAGGTTATAGGGTCCAGCTATCTGATTTAACCAGAAAGGGCAGGGACTTTCTCTCTGGAAGAAGAAAGGAGAGAATGTTGACATAGGAAATAAGCATGGTGCTCTCCTGAAGACTACTTCCAGTTGTAGTTCCTTCTTGCTTTCTGAAGAAGTTCTGTTTGCCAAACAAATATGTGAGTGTCCAGCTGTCTCTCTTTACAGCTCATTGTGAAATAGCCTGGAGGTAATGATTAATATCTTCTTTTTATTGACCTTACTTTCCTTTCTCCTGGACATGACTTCTCAAGTACCTATCTGTGCTTAAATCCTTACTTTAAACTCTGATTATTGGAAGACCTAGGCTAAGAAAGTTTATACTAGAAATGGTTATATAAAACTGAAACTTGGGAGAGTATTTTGGAATTGGATTGCTCACTTGTTTGAAAACAACTGCTTGTGATAAGAAGGTTACCAGGAGCTGTGAATATACTGCTTCCTTAACTCATAGAGCACCTACCGCCACCTGATGCTGTTCACTCCAACTCCTCAGGTAGAGATGGGCTTTCCAACTTACCCAAAACATAATGGGAGCTTAATTTGTGCAAATCATTTGATAAGATATAGTCCACAAATTATATGTCAGTCAAAAATGGAAGAAGACAACTAGGCAGACTATATAGCCGCTGGTGGTTGGTAATCTTCATTCACTGATAGCTCAGTGCTGAAGCAGCATTCATTATTTCTGGTTCTAGAAATAAAAGGTCTTATCTTTCCTCTCCACATTTAGTTGGTATCTATTGGTAGACTGCTTGTGACCATATATCTTACATCATTAGCACCTCTCTTCTCTTTACTCAGAATTAACAGTATAAGTATACTGCTTAGTATGAATATACACATATCCTTACACCTCTTTCAACTAATGAGACAAATAAAATGGCATATGGATCTTGTTTGCTAACACATGTACTGTAATAGGTACTGAAGTTAAAGTTTCTTTATGGTCATTCATCACTGAACCTTAGCATTTGAATTTACACTGATTTTATATTTAAGAGAATTATTATAAGTTTATTCCTCAAAAAGCAGCCCAATTTGAGTTCTGGTCTTTTACCTCCTTAAATGTATTCCCTTTGAGGTAGCGTGGATGGACCTAGGGAGTATTTTGCTAAGTGAAATAAGCTAGTTAGAGAAATACAAATATCATATGATCTCATTTATAGGTGGAATCTAATGAACAAAATAAACTGACAAACAAAATAGGTCCAAAGATATGAATGTATGAAACAGAATAACAGATTTCAATTGGGGAGTAGGGAGTAGAAGGGGACAAGAAGAGATTAACTAAAGAACATATATGAATAAATGTATAATACATGGACAATGAAAATAGCATGGGGAAGGCCTGGGGTGGGGGGAGCATGGGTTGGATGGAGGGGGCCAAAAAGGGGCCAAAATTTTATTGTTGATAATACCATCAACAATAAAATAAAATAATAAAACAAGAACATTAAAATCAAGAAATAATAGCCCTAGCCAGTTTGGCTTGGTGGATGGAGCATCAACTTGCAGACTGAAGGGTGCTGGGTTCAATTCCGGTCAAGGACACATGCCCAGGTTGCTGGCTTAATTCCCAGTGGGTGGTGTGCAGGAGGCAGCCAATCAATGATTCTCATTATTGATATTTCTATCTCTCTCCCTCTTTCTTCCTCTCTGAAATCAATAAAAATATATTTTAAGAATAAATAAATAAATAATAAAATAAAAATAAAATACATTTGCAAATGCCCACTTTTAAACATCAGCAAATAAAAAATGAGCAGGAAAAGAAAAAAGCAGCCTACTCTGTAAATTTCTAAATTTGTCTATATTTGGGGCCTACATTGGGATCAATAATTCTAATTTGCAAGTAAAAACTCGAGTTTCAACTTCAGACTGAATATAATTAATGTAAACCATTTCCTATCCTAATCTTAATATGGAGATCAACTCCTTTACATTCTTCAAACTGCCACCTGTAATAATAGCAAGTTTGAAAGCTAAAACCAGAGCA